TCGACGGCCAAACCGAATATTCACGGCTCCACGGTCATGCTCTGTATTTGGTAGGACCAACTCGGCGTAGTGTATTATGAGCTGTTAAAACCTACTGAAACACACAATCACAGGCGATCGGTATCGAACGCAATTGATGCGTTGAAAGACAAACGGCCGCAATACAACGAGAGACACGATAAAGTGATTTTGCAGCATGACATTGCTCGATCCCATGTTGCGAAAGTGATCAAGACATACTTGGAAACGTTGAAATGAGAAGTCCTACCCCATCCGCCGTATTCTCCAGACGTTGCTCTCTCTGACTATCACTTATTTCGATCAATGGAACACGGCCTGACTGACCAGCACTTCCGGTCTTATGAAGATGTAAAAAATTGGATCGATTCGTGGATAGCCTCAAAAGATGACCAGTTTTTTCGACGCGGGATTCGTACGCTGTCCGAAAGATGAGAGAAAGTAGTGGCCAGCGATGGACAATACTTTGAATCACAAATGTATAACCAGTTTTTTATAATAAAACCTCGAATTTCGGAAAAAAAAACGGCGGAAGCAAAGTTGTATACATAATAGTTATGCAAAAATTAGAAAAAACAGCACTAAATAGGTTTAGTAGTCAAGTTCCTTTTTACTACAGATATGTGGATGACTTTTGTGCCGCAGTTCCATCTCATATGATAGATCCTTTTTTTGAGATTGTTTCAATTCGGTACATGCCAGAATTTATTTTACTTTGGAGATTGGTGATGACTCGCTTAATTTTTTAGATGTTAAATAATGATTATCAATGAACAACCAAGATTTTATTGGTATCATAAACCAACTTTCTCGGGTAGATTTGTCAATTTTTTTTCTAACCGTCCCTTATCTCAAAGAAGAGAAATAGTCTTTAATTTGGTGGATAGGGCTTTGTTGCTTTCAAACAAACAACATTATGTGAAAAATATAACTTTTATAATTAATACACTATTACATAATGATTATCCACTTGATTTTATTTTTGAGACTATTAATAACAGAATTAATAACATCCGGAAAAGAGAATCCAAATTACGTGAGAATAATGATGATAATAAAGATCTTGAGAAAGAAGTATCTTGGTTTGTGGTTCCTTTTATTCCAGGATTCACAGATAAATTTAAACAAATGAGTTAATAAAAATATTAAAACTGCATTTCATAGCACCAATAAGTTAAATAAATTTATTAAAGTTCAAAAAGATAGTTCAGAACAATCTAAGAAATGTAACGTTGTCTACAAAATCCGTTGCAATGATTGTGATGCATCGTATGTTGGACAAACGGGTAGATAACTAAAAACGATGATTGCAGAACATCGTAATCATATTAATTGGAATACGTCTACCCGTTCTGTGATAACTGAACATAGAGTGCAGATGCAGCATGATTGGGAGTTAAGGTTTTAGACGAGGAATAATGTTACAACAAACGGCTGATATCGGAAATGTTAAATATTAAAAAACAAGATAATAGTCCGAATCTTCAGACCGATACTGAAGGTCTTAACAAAGCTTACATATCTATTATAAACAAAGTTTGACACTAGCGATATTTGTGTCATACCAATCTATCAGAAAATTAAAATTAGTACGTGGCGAGAAGTCGTTGTGATAATTTGTCTCATAAGAGTTCTTTATAACAAGGAAAAAGAAGGAAAAAAATTTTTTAACAATTCTTCTTCAACTCATTTGACTGGGAATAATACTATTTTATTCTTTTTGCTTGTTGTATTGTCTTATAATTTAAGTGAGAATTGTGTATAATTGACAAAAAGTTATCTGCGAATTTTTTTTTATATTTGTTGACAAAGATCGACTAATGCAATGAGATACTTGAGTGTTCGGTGAGTGTGGAAAAGAGATTATTTCTTTTAGCAGTCTTTTTTTCATAAATAAGAAATTAATAAATATTCTGTTATGTATGTAATATCTAGAAATTTGAAACATACGGTCAGTAAATCGTTTGAGACAGAAATTTTGTATCTTGGAAGACACTCTCATCTACCATTCAAGGTCGATCATGGATATTTTTGTAATTTTACCGAATATTAATGGATATCTTGCGGAAATGTTAAGTATGTTTGGGAACATCTGAAGATGGCTTGATATAAAGCCGAAACATGTAATGAATCTTACTAACGTTCAATTAAAGTTTTATTATATTTAATTCTGTGACATATATATATTTTTAACGTTTTATTTGACTCTTATATGTCCTTTACAACATTATTTGAAATTTTATAATATTTAAGAGTCCTATGAATCTTTTTATTGTTATATAATCTATTTTATTTTATAGATATAATATACTTAGTAAGTCGGGTTGCCTAACTGCCTATGGGCAGGAGCACTCGTTACTGGTAATGCAGAATATGATTATATTGCAAGTCCGGCGGGGAATGAGACAAGAGAAATTAAATTTTATTCTAATATAGTGTAAAATTTAATATTATAATATTATACAAATATGTATTTAACAACATAAATGATATATTTAATACATATTTAAAAATATATAACTATAAATATTTGTAATTATATTTTTAAAATCTTATTATTGAGCTTTATAGTATACTAGTATGTAAAATTCAATTTCTCTTGTCTCATCCCCTGCTGGACATGTCATTTAATTTTATTCTGCATTACTAGTAAAGCATTCCTCTGCCCATGGGCAGATTTACTGATGTGTAGGTTGCGGAAGCACCATTTTTATTACTACCATTTCACATGATAGAGTGAATGCACCGTTTGTGGTCATTGCATTTTCTGCGGAATACAGTCAAGACACAATCATCCTGTCAAAAACAATTCTTAAGGTGGCCACAGACGTTGCATTCACCCTAGAATGAAATAAAATATTTGAAGCGTTCTATCTGAAATTTTATATTTATTTTCCTTATACATACATAATGTATCCCTTATAGAAATTTAATACAAATACTGGCCAATTAATCACTTATTATGAGTATTAAAAGTGTTGTTAACAGTACTTTTAATACTGAAAATAAGTGCACGTGGTGTAAACTGTAGATTGTCAGCACTGGCAGTAAATTTTGGAACATATTATAGTCTAGATCTGTTCTATATTCCTGCACTCTTTGTACTGGTGCACACGGTGCACTAAAGCCGAAGACACAATGCGAGGGAATAGCGATAGCGATAGAAATAACACGATTTTAACTTATCAGAAACTGTGTATTCCGATATGTCCAATTTCTCAAAATTCTAGACACTACATAAATGCGTAGATAACAAGGGCTCGCATGTTAGAAAAAGAAAGTGCGCAATGAAGTACAAATACGACATCTTTTTTTTTCCTTTATCTTTTTTTATGACTTAGATTTCACAGTACACTGTGTTTATTTCGTTTTTTTTTTACTAGCACAATGGATATGACGGATAGGTAGTAAAATAAAGTACATATATATATATAGTGACGCGAACGAAAATTTTATTATTCACATCTTATTACACTGATTTATCTCATTTTTTATTGTATATTTTTTTTCGCGAACGGCAGCGTTCGAATGCGATCGGTGGCTCGGACATCGCTAGCAGCGCTTTCTGGAAAACGAGCACAAAAAACTTTTTTGATCACTATTCGCTTTTTTCAGCAGAGAATAATATGCATTAGCACATTCTAAATGCGATACCTATGGCTTATATTTTGATGGCGTTGATGATAATGAGGAACATGTTGGCGACTTTGGTGCTTTTCCGCCAGGACATTCTCAATATCTCGCTTTTTCCCTCGATGGTAGTGAACTTGATGGACCTGGTGACAAGGGACCGCTCGCGCTCGATCGATTTTCAACATATATATTCTTTTACTCGATCCATGTTTTATCGCTCGTAATCGAAGTTTGCGATTAAATAAAAAAAGCTTTATACACTGTTTATATACACTGTCAGATCTGTGACATATCGCGAAGCGTTAAGAGAAGCGCCGACGTTTCGGCTGCTAAACAAAAAAACAGACTCTTCTGCAGTAAACGTGGAAGGCAGGATGTGCAGGTATCCGCATAAAGGTAATTACTCCGAGTCGAACGCACCCCTTTTTTTGTCATCGATCCCTTTTTTATTACTTGAACATGCGTTCTCTCGTCTAGACAGTATTTACTTAAATTTTACGATCGACAATCTAAAAAATTAAAAGCTACATCTAAAAAATAACTACGCTTTGTGATCCCACATTTAATTTACCAACTTCCTGTTGTTGACGAGAAGACGCCCTTCAACTTGCTTTTACGCGTTTGGAAATATGAGTTTTTATCTACACAGGATCCCTAATCCGCATTTAGATTTTGTATTTACTGAACCGATCGTGTTTAAATAGGATTTTCTCTACATGGTTTGTAACTTTTGCCGTAAATTTTAATGCCGTGAATCAGGCGATTCTGAGGAGCTATGTTTTTGCTTGTTTCCAATATCGTTAGGAAGATTTCTAATGACACGTTTCTTGAATATTGTCATGCTCACCGATCGGTGACCGTTAACGCTCGAGTTTTATGTTCGCGCTTTGTCCTAACGACTATTTTTGCCGAAATTTTCACGAAACGGAGACATCGTGGAATCCACTGCACGTAACGAAATATATAATAGGTCATAAGTATTCGACACCTCAGTTGATGTTGTGAGACTGTCGAATCGATCGCAATAAGAGCAGCGTGAAAAGTGTGACTAACCATCGTGCGAACATCGAGGATATAGCCGACATAATCGAGAATATTAAAAACGCAGACCAGCGACAACTGGAGAATATTATAAATGAGGTGCTTATAATAGAAATGGAAGAAGACTTGGAAGTAGACTTTGAGGAGATAATGAACTAAGATTCATCCGACGAAGAAGTGCTATCCGACGATACTGGTTTTGCTAGTGACTCGAGCGAGTACGATACGGATCTTGTAGAAAAATGTGTGCCATCTCCAGAAATCCGTGCATCGAACAGCCGTATTAAACACTACACGATCCAGTGCTACTATACAACGGGTGGTGCTTTAACAGTATGTGCAGCATGTATGATCTTTTTGGCTGACATTGACGTTGTGGGAATGTATCTTGTAAGGAAGCAATATCGATTATACTGATGCGCTAAGCAGTCGATTTTGCACGAATTGCAAAGTGCCAATGTACACTATATTTTCGTGCAACAAGTGCACACACTACAACGTGTGTAGGAAACGATCTTTTTCGTGCTGGTGCTCCTTGACGTCTAGAACTTTTTCTCGATGATTTTCTATCCATTTTACTCGATCTTTACTCCTCGAATAGCAAATGCCGACTGAGAACTGGTTCTAAAAGACTTACGTTGCGCTAAGGTCACATACAAAGAAAAATAATCGTTGTATACTAACGCAGGTTAAGGAAGAGTCTTAGGTAGGACACACATACAATAGGCACAGGTATATGAATCCCAAACGGTCAAAAAGGGGAAATTTCAAACACAGCGTCGCTAGTAACTGCCGCGCGCTAGTAACTGCCACGCGCTCGGCGACGCGCACACTTTTATGGTCTACAACTCTGGAAATAATTCCAATTTTTTAATGAAACTTTAACATCATATTCTCCTAATGATATACTTTCAAAATATGTAAAAAAAAAAA